CAACATAGTTTAGCTCAACACAACATCTCAACTTATCAACAAAACTTATACAACATTTAGAATAACTTCTAGTTCAATTTAAACAACATACTTCATTTTCAATTTTCCACAATATGGACATAATTAACTCCTGAGGTTACCATAAAATTTGTAAATAATTATATTATTTTTTATAACAAAGCTAAGATCAACTTGATAACATGTATATAGTTCTAGATATCATATTTAGACCACTTGATGTCATAGAAGATTAAGTTATGAAAATGTAATTTGTGAATGGTGAGTTGCTTCATCCTATGAACATTTAATCTTAGAAATGTTTTGAGAAACTTATATCAATGGTTAATGTGATAACCTTCTGCACTAAATAATTACAAAGCTTAATATAAAAAATATACATAATAAGGAAATAACAAAATTAAAAAGCTTAATATAAAAAATTAATTTCTTTCGCCTTAACACTTTGTAAAAGAACTTTAATTAATTAATAAAAGTGAATCTTCACCCCAATGTCACGCTAATTAAAACAAAAACCTCCCATACAAGTGAAGCTCTAAGCTTCTCTTCCATCAAAACATCTCTCTATACCTGATCTATTCCTATAAATGGAGATTAGCCAAAAACAAGCAACATGAAGATAGAGAGTAAGAATACAACTCTACCATAAAGCAAAAGGATAGACACATACATTTAAAACATCAATAACATCTCACACACATGTAAGGATTCTTCTATACATCCAAAATAACCATTTCCATACATTCATTCATCAACCATACAAATTAACTCAATCATAAATTAAGACTCGTGTAATGAATGCTCCTAACTTAATATTGAAGTTAGACATAAAACACATAGAAGGGGGGTTGAATATGTGTGTGTGAGTACGAAGGAATTTTAAAAACATTTTCGCAGGAGTAATGTTCTTCGTCCAATGCACTTTTAAATACCAGACGATTATGCAGAGTTTGCTTAACACAAGGTCATTTCGTTTGAAAGATTTATCGTCTACTGAAGGAAAATGGTTCATATAACAATAATGATTAAAGCTCTTGCATTTTCCTTTTCAAGATAGTTTCATATAAGGATAAGCAGCAGATAAAACTTTTCAGTGTGATATATTTGTTAAAGAAAATTTACGTCTTTGTCTGATTTATTTAAATATTTATAAATGAATATTACATTAACTTCAGTGATTATTTTAATCCTTTTCTTTAATTTTATTATTATATATAAATTATTTACCTAATATATTTTGAATTTATTTTCATGAATCTTATTTTATTTCAATTGTTATTTTAAAAGTTAGGCTTAATTATTCAATTCAATTGATATAATCGTGCTAGTTTCATTGTTTAAAAGCAATTGACTTATACAAAAATTAGTAAGATTTGTGAAACAATTATAAAATGAAATATTTTTTAGTAATTTAAAAAAATTATTATCCTTTGATTTTAATTTACTCATAGATGTTCATAGTATTTAACATATGATATATACACCTCTTTTTTATTACAATTACACTTGCTTTGTTTAAAAAGGCTAAAATTGCTGACAGTAGAGCTCGAATCCACACACATACTTACGTGGAGAAAATCTTAAGTCTTCCCCCTTAACTAATTAGGCAAACCACCCGCTGGTTCTTTTTTATCAGTTTTTAATACATCACAATGCATTTCCTTGTTTTTTTCTCTATTAAATAGAATACGTGACTGTTTTAACGGAGTTTTTTTTTATTCGCATTTATTTTAAAGTTTCATGTTGAAATAAAATTCCAACACAAATTAACATATTTTATAACTAATATCTGGTTTTAAACTTGATATGAAAATATTATGATATAACTTGATAAGATTTTAAATTAGTATTTTATTAATGGTTGATAATTAAAAAATAAAACAAGGATAAATACATTTTTTGAATTTTATATCTTAGATTTAAGATGAATAAATATATTAAGTTAATTAATAATTTATTTAAAATGTTAAAATTTAATTTATAAAAATAATATTTTAAAAGAGAAGTGTTATAATAACACAGGTGTAACTTTTACTAAGTATTACATCGCTCAATAACTTTATATTAAATGTGAATTTTATAAATTCAACCGTTAGATTGAAAGTTTTTTACTCTTAGATCATATATACAAAATTTTATATGAATTCAAGATGATTTGATACTTCATTCTTGTAAAATAAAATTGACGTAACATATACATTTCAAAATATATTAAAATATGAGCACTTTGATTACCTTCAAGTTGTTGTTCAATTTTAACAAAACTTGATATAAACATATAAAGTGATATGAACTTTCAATTTAACGGTTGGATTTACAAAATTCACATTTAATATAAAGTTATTGAACAATGTAATACTTAGTAAAAGTTATACCAGTGTTATTATAACCCTTCTCATTTTAAAATATAAAAATTATTATTTAAAATTTTAAATTTATAATAGATAATTTAAATTGTATCATAATATTAATTTTAAATAGAAATAAGTAGATTGTTAATTATAAAAGTAAGTATATATAAATAAAGATTAATTAAATATAATATAATTATTATTATTGGTAATATAATTATTAAATATATTATTATATTTTCATAACGGTTCGGATACACCGAAATGAGAGGGATCCAAAGATAGTATAAGTATGAGATTGTATATTTGAGGATGACTTAAATGAATTAATTTGTACTACCTATACTGACAATATGCATATGCCTTTCTGTAGCTTATCTCATAAGAACTCCACAGTTAAGCGTGCTTGACTTGGAATAATATAGGGATGGGTGACCTTCTGGGAAGTTTCTCAAAAATTGTGTAATTAAGGATAAAACATGCTGAAAAATGAAGTATTGTAAAATAGAATCCTTGAGAGACCAAATATGAGTATTTCGTAGCGACCAAATTTGCAACTACTATAAAATTTAATAAAATAAAAAATAAATCTTTAGCGACCGATTTATTTGGTCACTAATTTGGTCCCTATACACATCAGCAACCAAAATCATTGCAACCATTTTGCGACCGAAATTTTCGGTCGCTAAACAGCGACCAAAATTTTCGGTCGCTAAACCAAAATTTTCGGTCGCTAAATAGCAACCGGAATTTTTTTGGTCGCTATATAGCTTTGCGACTAGGATTTTTGCGACTACTTAAATTCAGTCGCTAAGGCAAATAACGACCGATTTTAGCAATTTAGCGACCAATTTTGGTGGTCGCTAAATGCTTTTTTGTAGATATATATTATTTGTAGTATTTATATTAGCTATTTACATTTAGTTGAGCTCAGTAAAAGTGATCTAATTTTAGTGAGCCTTTAGACTGCCAATAGGAAAAACTGATATGGGCCCAAATAAATGGAAACCAGATTTGTCTTGTTAGGGGTTAATAGAACCCTAACAAGTTTAAAATCCTAAAGATGGTCATGGTCCCCAATATGCCAAATCAGAAACACACATCTCTCTATTTTCCCATCCTAAAAGGAACATCAAGTCCCATTGAGGAATCCAGTGATTTGGTTGAGGAAGATCATTGTACAAAAAGGCTATTTCGCTGCAATCTTTGGTCAACATCAATGGATACAGAGATGTGTCACTAACCTTAACTTTGTAATCTGACGTAACAATTGTTAATACTGATTAATGGAAATTTTCTATTTGGCTTAAGAAATTTATCCCAACATAACTATGTATGTTATACCTTATTATGTGTTGTTTGTGTTTAGCTAGTTGGTTTGCATTCCTACACCGTGAGCTAGAGTAAGATGTTTCTCATTCTCTTTCCTTTTATGTGGTTTCCTTGTGATTTTTGCAAGTGATCATCAACATGGTGCTGAGGATGGTGGTGATGAGACTTAAACTTCAATGTTGGGTTTTGCTCTGATATAGGATAGGTGACATTGGGGATTAGTTAGGTCTTGCTAGTATTTGATTCATGTTATTTAATTTGAGTAGTTCGATTTTAATTCCTTAATAATTTTATTATTTTCATCATGTTTAGTTTGCATTAATAATGTGATGCTTTCTACCTATATGGATTTTGAGTTTATTTTTTATATTGAGGTTATTCAGTTTTATATTATTCATATGTTATAACATGTGGAATAAAGAGTGTCACAAAGAAGACAGAGAATTTGTACGATTAAAATAGCTCAGGAGGTCAGATTTTACTGTAATTCATGAAACCTTGAATCAAGTGATCAAATTAGCCACATCTTCATCAAGATGTTGTAGTTCCTTCATGTATAAAAAATGTAAAGAGAAAATTTCAAGAAAGAGAGAGAATTTAGAAAAATTTGTAGAGAAAATAACTCTAAAATATGAAAAATGAGTGTAAAGTGTACATAACAAGTTTCATAACACCTATTAATAGAGCAATATAGTGGACTTAATCAAAATATTCATAAGGCCCAACTCACTAATCTACTAATTAACAAGGTTGGATTACTAATAGAATAAGTTCCTAAAATAAACCCAAAATTAAGTGCATAGGCATAACATTGAGGTATACTTTTATACCCTTAAACGTCTAAATTGGCTAAAACTCCCAACAGAGAAATTGTAGAGCTTTGTCTTAGCTTTCTAAGGACACTAAGAATATTCAAATCTAATGTCAAGAGCTTTAGATATTACCTATGCAAGAACAAAGTATAAAATGGTTTAAATTGCAAAAATTAATAAGAATTTACAATCATCACTAACTAAACCCACTCATAAAAATCACATCTAATATATTAATTATTCAAACTATTAAATGTCAAATCATCCTAAATTAATGCATTGAAATATGTGTCCAAAATGTACTATCATATGTTAAAAACATTATGAATTCATAATACAATTTTGACTATTGACTTTACATTTATTATATATGTATACAATTTATTAATAAAAGAAAACAAGTCAACATATTATGTCCAATACATAATTTTTTTTAGGATTTAAACTAAGTTTACATGCATTATTTTCTGTCTATAAATTGATTTTACTTATTTTTCTTGAAAGATCAAAACAAGAATATAACATTGTTACAAAATTCTTTGTGATAGATTGTAAAAATTAGAGAATAATGATGACAAAGAATGAAATGAAAACAATCAGAATTGTGATTATAATCATGATTATGATGGACTTCGTACAAGCTAATCATAATCCTCCATTAGCTCAAATTGATCAAAACAATGTTCTCCTTAAAGGCACTGGATGTGCTATTCTTTGTGGCCTAAAATGCGTGTTTACAAAATTCCGTAGAAGTGACTATGAGAAATGTATTGCTGATTGTGATGATAAATGTTATGGAAAGCATCACGTCTATGATTGTTTTAATAGTTGCAGCTTGACCAAGTCTATTGATAACAACATTGGTATTCACTCTATTTACTTCTTTTTTGTTTTAAAATTATTCCTTATAGTATGTGGAGTTCATTATGTTTTAACATGATTCTTATTATTGATTTTACATGCCAGATACTCGTGGTCTTCTAGCTTATGTCATGGACTCTTGCTTCCAAAAGTGTCAAAATAAGTAATATTTTGTTTCAAGAATGTTGAAATAAAAGGTTGATAGGAGAAATGAAATTCATACATCAATATAATTGTAATAAACAATTCTTAATGTTGTTTTAATATATCCAATTATTTCCCTTTCATTTGTCTGAAGTTCCTTTCATATGGAAATACAATTATCCACACCTTTTCCCTTCTTATTTCTACTAATTTTTTTCTTATAATCATGCATTCTATGTTACACATATAAGTACCTATGTTGATTTTAACATATACATTAGCCCAATTGGCATAAATGAAAGATTATAATTGTGACACCATTTATCCCATAAATCAATACTTATAAATAAATAAAATAAATCTTTGATGGATATAAATAAACCTTAACGTAAAAGGAAAATTGTTCCAAAGACCGATAGTTTTATCTTTACTCATTAATATAATCATAACTTAAGTTATAAATGTAACATCCCATTTTTTTTAAAAAAGAAATAAATAATAAATAAATTAGAATAATTAGAATATTGTAAAATAATATTTTTTAATAATAAAATAAAAAGAGAGAGATGAATTAGAATATTATGTGCTTGACTTTGGGTCCAACCCAGAGACTAATTAAAAAAAAAAAAAGAGATAAGAAATGGATTAAGTTATTGCGCATGTCTTCTAATTTTATTATTACAGAAACTTGCTCATTTTTCATTTTTTAATTATTAATTTAACATATTCTTATTATATCATTAAATTTCAAAATTTTAAATTAATTTTTATGAAATTATATATTTATTACAAAAATTTGAAACTGTCTATCATGTATATAATAATTATTAGTCATTAAAATATTTTAATCCATTTTTTTAATATTAATTTTGACACACACACACATATATATATATATATATATATATATATATTTATTGAATTTTTTCTTTCATTTTGATATTTTTTATGCATTTTTTTATTTATATTTAGTAAATATTTAATCCGATTATTTTCATATATATATATATATATATGCATTGTTTCTTTTCCTTTCATTTTGATATTTTTTTATACATTTGTTTTTTTAGATTTATATTTAGTAGCAGTATATATACTAATTTTTTTAATTTTGATATATTTTTTCATATAATATGTTTTGTATTATTTTATTTTACTTTTAGAATTAAAATTTTTATATTAAAAAGGTTTTGAGGGAGTTTTGAAAGGAAGGGAGTTGAGACTCTTGGAGAGGAGAGAGTTGTTGCATTAACTCTTTTCTTTTGTATTATAGAATAATAGATTACTTTATATTTAATATTTATTACCATAAAATTTATTATTCTTTAGTAACTATAATATTAATTGTATAGGATTAACATTAATTACTATTATTAATACTAATTGGATAATATTAATATTCATTATTATACTATTATACCATTTATATTTAATATTTATTACTATACTATTTAATATGCTTACATAAGTTTTTTACGTTATACAATTCTTAAATGTCGATGAAAATAGTCATTAAATGACTTATCAAGATGAGAGAAACGAAGTATAAAGTCTCCCATACAAAAATTATGCATATTGCAATTTCACATTTCTTTTATGTGCATTATGTTCTTTCACAATTTTTTCATTTATGTTAAAAATAAATATCCTTGATAGAAACATTAAGATTTAATGAAAAGGAGGAAAATGTAGAATGTAACACCCATCATATTTTACACAAATCAAAGTATGACTTTTTAGGCTGCTTTATCTTCACAAAAGGTTACTTATCTCTAAATTTCTCCAAATCAAACACGCTTAACTTTAAAGTTCTTAAGTGATGAGCTACCAAAATATAGATACATCTTATTAGTATAAGTAATAAAAATTAATTCCTTTAAGTCATCTTCAACTTTAGAGTCTCACACCTATATACAAATCTCTAGACCCCTCTCATTTTGGTTTTTTCAGGTTGTTACAAATTAAACCCAAAACTTTTTTGTGATTAAAATGTGTAATTTTTGTCCTATTTTGTTCTGATTATGTTGCTATGCTATCTATGATATTATCTCTACAGATAAAAGATAAACACTAGAAGAATGGTTGAATAGTGTGTATCAAAAACTTGCACATTTTATCTTAGTGAAGTACTAACTCTAATCAGATGGAGTACAAAAAGTAGTTAGATGAAATAATTTTTGTACTGGTTCTTCTCAATAAGCCACTTCTAGGTCAATCCTAGGTATTCTTTGACTTGCCTCTTCAAGTAACTACCCATGTATTCTTTTAACAACAAACCTCTCTAGACTTAACAAGTATTCTTTCATAGACAAGCCTTTCTAAGGTCAAAACAAGTATTATTTATTTGACAAGTCTCCTCTTTAGACTTAACCTTATAATAATGACTATGAAGGTTACACAAGTGTTGTGTTCGCCTCTCTTAGATGTTATACAACCATTACAAAGCAATTAAAGTTTACAAGAAAGAATATATTTACTAAGAGATTGTTTCTATACAAACATGAATCTTCTAAATAAAAGTATCTCTTATATTGAATCTCTATCTTTCTTAAGCTTTGAATCTTCTTATATAGTAACTCAGATAAGATGACTGTTGCAAAACTTCGAGTCTAGTTCACAAGTTTGCTTCATCTGTCTTCATCATTTTTTCTTGTGATAATAAGTAACCGTTTAACTTATTTAATGCGAGCATTAAATGTATTGGTACCTCTTATTTGATCAAGGAGACTATTTATCATCTTTTCATGCCAAACGGAGCTTGTAGAGGAGTGCTAGCAACAATGACTTTATCTATTTTTCTCCATTATTTTAGGGATCCTTGTTGTAACATCCTGGACAATAGGAATGAGAGGGATCCAAAGATTGTACAAGTATGAGATTGTATAGTTAAGGATGGCTTAAAAGAATTAATTTGTACTACCTATACCAACAAGATATATCTACTTTTTGGTAGCTTATCCCATAAGAACCTTATAATTAAGCGTGCTTGACTTGGAGTAATTTAGGAATGGGTGACCTTCTAGGAAGTTTATCAGAAAGTGTGCGAATGAGGACAAAGTACACTAAAAAGTCTTGTGTTGGCTTGTTGGGTTAGTTGTTGATCCTAAAAATCAAACGAACATCTCAAAAAAGGCTACCCATGGAGGGTTTTGATCGGTGAAGGGTTTTGGCCAATGAGGAGTTGTGTGAAGTGTCATTGTGTGAAGTGTCATGGAGTGGAGCCATTGAGACGTCAAATCTGAGGGGTGTTACAAATGGTATCAGAACAGGTCCTCTCTCAGTATAGCGTGGTTTGGGGACGAACCAAGTGGAAGCTGGTGGGCTTGTAACAGCCTGGACACACTGAAATGAGAGGGATCCAGAGATTGTATAGATGAGGATATCTTAAAAGAATTAATTTGTACTTCCTATACCAACAAGATGCATATACCTTTTAGTAGTTTATCCCATAAGAACTCCATAGTTTAGTGTGCTTGACTTGGAGTAATTTAGCGATAGGTGACGTTTTGAGAATTTTCTCAAAAAGTGTGTGAGTGAGGACAAAGCACACTGAAAAGCCTTGTGTTGGTTTGTGGGGTCATTCGTTGATTTGAAAAGGCGGATGGACATCTTAGAAAGGGTTACCTACGGAGGGTTCTGATCTCGGTGAAGGATTCTGACCAATGAGGGGTTGTGTGAAGTGCCACCATGTGAAGTGTCATGGAGTGGAGTCGTTGAGACCTCAAATCTGAGGGGTGTTACACTTGCCCTTAGTTTTGACAAAAAATTTAATTTTGTTCTATTTAACAGATTTCTGAGTTTTGAGATAACCTTCTAATTTGATCTATTAAGAAATGAAACATTCAAAAAGTTTTTTTCATTAGTCTCAATAAATAATAAGCATTTAATGTATATGGTACATGATGGAGGGCCATCAGCCAAGGGCCCAATTACTAGGGCTATGGTTAAGAGGTTGGAGGAGGAATGAGCCAATTCTAAAGAAAAGCCCATAGTTCTCTTCAGTTGGGTTGTGCACTAAAAGCCCATGTAGATTAGGGTTTTGGCCAAGAGGGCTTGTAAATATTTTTTAGCCTTGTATTTTGAGCCATGTAGTTTAGGATTTCTTTAGTCATGTATTTCCGAAATTTAGATGCATAGGCTAATTAATTACATGTGCATTTACATTTTTATGTGATTTAGCCTTGCATTTAGGGTGAATTTCGACCCATGTGCGTCAATCACATGGTGTGTCCGAAATTCACTCCTAAATATGAACTAAATCACATTCAAATGCAACTAGCACATGTTGGCACACGGAGTTCTGGATTCTTGGGGAAGTTTGGCACCAAATTTGAATTTTCAAATTCAAATTTGGCGCCTAAGGTTTAAAATGACCATACCATGGTTTAACTTAAACCTTAGGTTAGCTTAGCTTCTTTAAGACTCCATCTTAGCCTATAAATCTAACCTATATGTGTACATTCACTCACTTTGGTTTATTGAATGAGAATTTCATCTTCACATAGATCAAATCCTCTAGATCAGAGTCACCAAGGAGAATTTCTTCTCCACCTCGCCTTGAGCTTTCCTCTTTGTAGTTCTAGGCGCAAGCTTTTTCTCTTTGAGAAGCTTAGATCAAGTTCATTATCATTTCATTCCTTCTTGTTCGAATTCTCCTCCTTGAAGAATTCTCAAGGAATTACAAGAATATATGTTTGGTGCATCCATGGAGTTTAAGCTCACAAAGACTCCATTAGTACATATTGTATGCTTTGTCTAATTTACAATGTCTTACAAATAATTTCTGGCTTATGCTTCATCTGATAAGTTTTTTATTTCAAAGATGTTTGTGAGGATATTTTCTCTTTATAAAATTTTTTTGTTTGTTAGCATTAAAACTCTAAGTTGAAGGCATCCATGATCATCTTTGACTTAACAATCTATGATTGTGAATCTATAAATGTTTGTGGGTTCTCAAGAGAATCTTAAGAATTAATACAAAAAAAATTATTAGAGAAACAAATATGAATATAAACCTATACTATAAAATAGAACAATCATGCATTAGATCCATTTAATATGACATAAATTTGTAGTGCCATAATTGAAAGTGTATCATTCATAATTTGTGTTATGTAGAAAAATACTTGACGATACCATATTGGGCACTACCTTGTGCC